CTGCAGAGGGGGTGAATCCACGTGCTGCCAGCCCACATCCAGCTCCAGTGACTGCCAGGAGGTCTGCCTTCTGCCACCACTGCCAGTCTCTCCTGTTGATTCCCTACATTAGGCAACACAGCCTTGGTGCCTTTCTTTCTTACAGCTTTCTCTTCCCCCCCATCATCTCCCCACCAGGAATCTTTCCTTTGCATCATTTTGGCTGTGTTTTCCCCTCTTTAGCATTCAGTCCTTGTTTTCTTTCTTTAATCTTCAACTCAGCCTTTTCAACTTTGCCTTAAAGCACTGAGTAAATCCCTCTCACCTGCATGTCAAAACCTTCTAGCTTCTCTCAGGCACTGTCTTCCATTACAGGTGCTACTCCAATGTACATATCACACCCCTACTCAGTACCAGTTATCATGCCAGCTCCGATATAGAGAGCAATCCCTCTCCTCCCATCAACACTCACAGTATACTTTGACATTCCTCTTTCATAATGGGACTATTAATTTTAGTTTGAACAACCCCCTCTGACCTGGTCATCTTCCCTCATTGCACCATCACTCAAGTTCAGGGGCTAGCACCAGTAGCCTCCACTTCCTCCTCAGGGGAAACAAGCATGAAAGCAATATGATGAGGAAAGGGCAGTATATAAACCCCCAGCAGAAGAAAAGGGTGGGGGGCTGGGGGTGTCACCCATTTGGCAGAGCATTTATTGATTAGTTTCAGTTCAAACAAATTATCACTGGCAGCACTAGTCATTAGAAAAGCCAATGCTCAGTCACATTCTCTGATTCTGTTCCACAAATAAGATGCTGCCATTGCTTGTGAAAGGTCACAGCTTGCTGATAAGCTAGCAGCACAAGCATCAGGACTTGTCAAGCTTTTTCTATGCTTTGTTTAGCTACAAGAGCAATTATCTAATGACCCAATGTCTACTACTGACTTTGTTTTAGCTTTTGCTTTGCTTTATCCAATTGCATGGTGAAATGTTTACTGCTATATGTACTTTTTGTAACTAATAGACAGTAATAGCAGCTAGTTATTCTCTGTAGAATGAACTATTTATGACCCCAAAATAAAATGCAGCATAAAGGATCAGAAGCATGGGATGATAACAGGGGCCCTGGCAGTACAGGTGTAGAATGATGTTGGAGGCCCCAGGCTACAAATAGCTCACCAGTGGTTAATTACTGGTCATTAAAGGGTGCAACCTTAGCAGGTGGGTAAGACAAATGTTAGATGTAACAAAGGAGAACAAACAATAAGTACCCAACACATTTAAAATGCACCACATAGAGCAAATTTGGATCTACTGTGCAGCTGTGAACCAATGAAGAAAGAACAAGATGTAGAATGTCTTAGTAAGCATGTAGAAATGACCTCTGGTGGATCATACGGTGAAAAGGAAGACATTTTCAGTTGTGTTTATCCCAGCAAAGAGGAAGAGAAGCTCTCCCCACTGATGTCAGACTCCGCTTGGTAGAGGACCTGGGACATTGATGACTTGCTGTTACACGTGCTCCCACCCCAGACTGAAGACATCAGAGGGCAAGTGTAGTGGTGCACACCAGCAGAGAAAGGGGATTATGCTACAAAGTTTATATGTATCAGTTTTACCTGATCTAATTTGGACTATAAGTGCTAGTATCATTGTAAGAAACGACAAGAATATGATCTCATCACCTAATTATCTCAGCTAATAATAATTCTTTGATCAGACTATTTTTAATAAGACTAACAATATATTCTTCCTAGGTTTGCATGTAAGGTGTGTTTCCTTTTGCACATAACAATATTTTGAAACTGACAAATTGCTGGGAATTGAAGCAACCTGCTCCTTAGCTTGAAGGTAACAAGCTGGTAACAAATAAGGTGTGCTTTCAGGAGTGCACAGGTACTTGTTTGTGCTTGGCTTCTCTGAGCTGTCACAGTGTGGGATCTGTGGAGGCAGGGGTTTGGTTTTGGACTTTTTCCACCCCAGTCCATCTCAGAGATGTGACGGTTGGGTTGAGGACACAAGTTCACCCCACTCAAAAGAGACGCTCAGCCGATGAGTTTGAACTCCAACTCTTTTCAAGTTCAAAGATCCTCCAGATCTAGGGTTGCCAATCTGACCTTATTATTGATTGATTATTTCCTATGCATACATATAGTGCTATCACAGCACTCACTGCTTCTTCAGTCAGATTTTACCCATGATTCATGTGAGAGCCCACCCACAGGGTGATGAGTGGCTGAAATCCTGAAGGTCATCCTCATTTTGTCCTTAGTTTTTTGTGAGCAATTCCGTACAGAGCGAGCGGGCTGGTGATGCCAAGGATTGTTGACATCCCTGGCCTCTATTCCTAGTCATCACTGAACTTGTCTTTACTTCAATATACCCCTCTGTAAACGATCAATAAAAATACTTCCTATCTCCTGGTGAACATTGTTCATCTTAATGACTGTTGGTAAAATGCCTTGAAATATTTAATCGAGAGAAACACACTTTAGAAGTGGGATGTAGGTAAAGTTTCATTAGGAGCATACCAGCCACTTAATGGATTTGACATGTTAAAGCAATTTCCAGGGGAATCTGGGAATTCTCTTTGCTGGCACTGTGATGTGCTCTGGAAGTTGCCCCCTTTTCCAATGCATCAGGTAGTCAGTTGTTAAAACAGAAAGAAAAACAAAGGCAAACATTTAAACTGAGCCTGTAAATGGTTGGTTGGGTTTTTTTTTTGTAATAAAGGTAGGGTTTTTGCCTTAGCACCAAAAAAGGCACCTTTATTAGCATGGCTTAGAAGCAAATTTTTTAACTTTTACAATTCAGTTGCAGCAGGTGGTGTCTATAGTGCTACTACATACAAGGGATTTATCAAAATACAGAACACAAGACACAAGTGCAATCAGACATGCTTTATTTCAAATTCTTATTACACTGTGGTTATAAAAAGTCTGGAATGGAAAGCAGGTTTATATGCAAGAGCAAAAAATGGATAATTTTGTTAGCTGATGTAGACTCTGGTAAGACTGCTTTATTACTTAACAGAGATTGCCACCTTGCATTTACAACACACTGTTCAGTCCCTTGTACCCCAGAGGGCTTATCTGGGAGACTTTGACATTGCAGAGTTTCTAATGTGGTCACATAAGCTGTACAAAATGAGTGTGTGCCCATGCCCGAAGTGAAAGCCCCCAAAAGTCTGGTGTTCCTGGATCCGGGATCCTGGATGCCTTTGCTTTGTTCCTCATCCTTTAGCAAAAGAGCAGCCTGCATTTCTCCCCTCCCAGGACTTGCTTATATTTAACAGCTGGTCACAGGTTTTGCAGGAGGCAATGTGTGACAAGAAGAGGAGCAGAAGGCAAGTCATCTCCTTTGCTTTCTCACTAATGAGACCACAAAATGACATGGCCATACACAACACAATAAAGCCCCAGTCTTTAATGAGCATGAGGCTCTTTTTAACTTCTTTGGAAGCTCAATTAGCTCACCTGTGCTGTTAGTATGGGACATGCTCTTACACACTGTCACCAGTGGAGACCAGTTCCTGCAGCTTGTGGCATGTGCATCTTTGCCTCTTGGAAAAAGATCCTAAGAAGGATTTCAGGGGAGATGAGAAATGAACACACATAGCCCCCGCTGCCCTAGCACAACGGGGTACATGGCTTAGGGTGGAGTGGTACCCTGCATGGAAGACTAATCGAAACTACAGATTCAATGCAGCTTCTGGGCCAGAAGGTCCTCAGGGGAGGAGCGTTGCCCTCAAGGCAGGAGGACTGCACCTCACAGAGGAATATGCTGTGAGAAAGGCAGGAAGCAGATCCAGCTTGTGGAGTTTCTGACTCTCAGGATACATCTTTATTCCTTTTCCAGCTGAGCTTCTGTCCCTGTGTATTCTGGGGTTGCTCATGTAACAGGACTTCATTCTGCAGTAGCCGTGATTCCTGGGAACTTTCAGGCATGGTTTAATCTAAACTCATCCCCAGGTGTTTAATCTAAACTCACCCCCAGCTCCAGTGCAGGATGTTTGCTAGGCTTGTGAGGCTGGCAGATGACGACTCTCAGGCTGCCCCCTCCAATTCTCTCTCCTTCACCCCATTTACCAGCTGGCAGAGCCTGGACTGCTCTGGGGCAGCGAACCCCGCTGACACACACACACGTGGGAAATGGGGGTGCAGGGTGGGTTCAGGAGAGAAGAAAAGGCAGAAAAGGATGAAGAGAGAACACATCCTACGCCAGAGATGTGACCAGGAAATGCAAGTTTGTTGTGGTGAACTCTGAGCAGGGGCATGAAAAACTCTGGATTTTCATCATGCAAAGGAGAGGAACAGTGTATCAGCAGCATATGGGGTGGGATGAAGGCATAAAATACAAGACCGAGTACATGTGGGTGCCTGCACACATGAAAGAGTAGGAGAAAAAGCATAGGGAAGCAGCAAGAGGAAACAAGGAGCTGGGAATATTCTGGAGATAACACATCCTGAGAGATGATTGCAGCAAAGCAAACTCTCCCTGAACTGGACAATTATAACATTGTAAGGTAAAGCAGACCCTTTAGCTAGAAATATCTGTTATTATTGCAGCCTGAATGATTTACCATAGGGTTGTGTAATTCAGTCTTAGAATTTATAACACTGAGGTTTTTTGTTTTTTTTTTTTTTTTTTTTTTTCTTCTCTCTTTTCAGTGAAATATCAGGTCTTAATTAAAAGTAAAGTTCAGACTGCTTTGGTGAATGGAGCTTTTCAGATTCCCTTGCAGCACTAATGCAAAAGACCATAAATACAAGTGAACTATAGGAATAATATGGCCTAGAATTGCCTTTAATTACATGTATCTAATTTTAAATCATTCACTATCCAGGTGCTTTTTCATGCTCTCCCCAGTCTTACCAATTAGTTTTCTTCATCAAATTTTTTTCAGCACAAGGATGACCAAAATAATGATAAGCAGATTTCTACCTCTTCCCCCCTGACCCCCACAACATGATATTTTCAAATATAGCTAAATGAGAGATGAAGGAAGCATCTTGGTTCATGGTTTCTGAATCTGGACATTCAGCTCACCATACACATGCCTCAAAGCATCACAATTCAGGCTTGCAATCAGCTTTCGTAACCCTGGTCGTTTTGGGATGCATTTTACTTCCCAGATCAAGGTAGAGTTTGTTGGGATTTGCCTGCAGGGAAAAAGGAAAGCAACAATACTGTGATCAGTCAGCCAGTGCTCTCAACCTGACCCACAACTGGAGAAACTGAAGGTGGACAGTATAACACGTTTAAAATTTTTTATGTTTCACTCATTCTCGTAAGTGTCCTATAAATTATTCCCTCCATCTTCTATGCCTCTCAGAACTGACTCTGTCAAAGCCTTTTCTAGCCTTTCCTCCAGGCTAATTTTAAATTTCCAAAATGAATCAATTTTCTTCTGCCTCCTGTCACTTCCTCTCACGATCACTTTCAGAATTATCTTCTTTGTAGCTAACATATACATTTTCTACTTTATAATTCCATTTTACCTGTTTATTATAGCCTATAGCCTGTTGGTGATTCCTGAAATGGTTAAATGAGAAGTCCTTGTTTTGAAGTGCCCAGGGCATTCCCATGCAAACCCAATGCAGCGCTGCTGAGATGCTGAGCCCCTCCGCCAGCTCCTACCCTGAACCACCCTGCCATGGTTGTAACATCAGCAGATCTCCTCATTGGCCACATCAGATGAATTCTTCATGTCCATACAAATAAGTCAAAGTGTTCTTGGGAGTCCTGCTGTTAGCAGTTACTCTTTTACATTACGTATGACTCTTGATAACTCACACTATAAAGCAACTGTAGTCTGTGCTACTCTCGATTTTCAATTTTTGTTACAATTAAGATGCACGGAGAGCCACAAATATTGGGTTTCTGTGTTTTCTCAGTGCTTTCACTATGTTATGTGTGCAGATTTTGAAGGCTGAAATTGATTGACTGATTATGTTTGGGGGATGTCAGTATACAGCTGCTCCAAAGGAACTACCAATGGAGAAGGTAGCATAGTGGGGAGCTATTTATAAAAATGAATGTTCTTTTCCTCAGCATTAAGCAAGATGATTATGAATTTAGCCACTGTTCTCATCTCACATGGCTATGATATTCTGCAAACAACCAAATAAAATGAGAGTAAAGTAAGCCTAAACTTTAGTCACTGTTTCAGATTCTCATCTGGTAGGATTTGGCTCTCAGAGGCCATGTCCTGTGCTAGGGTCAGGATAGAAATGACTGCCCAGGCTTAGCACAAGTTGCCACAAGCCAAAAAACCTTAATTAGCTGTAAATGAGCTAGCCTGGAATCCTCCCACCTGAATATTTCTTTCAGTGCAAGTCTGCCCCTGCTAAAATGAGAGGTATTCTAGCTCCTTAGAGGTTAGCTTAGGTATCTCTACGTGGCACTGCATTGCATTTTGCATATACAGTCATAGGTACCCTGGGGCATGTACCCAGTTTTAGAAAAGAAAAAACAGAGGAAGATCGTATTTCTAGTGTGAGCATGTGCAGACCACTTCCAGCAAGTGTTTTCCCTCTTTTTATCTTTGTTCTTAATAAGAGATATTGTGTTCCCCTCAGGTGGCCTGCCTGCTCCATCAAATGTCCACTAAAATGGTAACATGATAAAACAATGACTTCAATTGCTGCACAAGGTTAAATACCTTTTTAAATTTAGAGTTTATGGGAATGATCTGCAATGGATTATCTGTATGGGAAGTGAAGAAGATATTATACAAGTCTGCTGTGCAGCAAGGTTCAGTCTACTTTCTTGGTCACTTGGGGGCCAGATTCTCCAAGGATAAAGGTTTTCAGACCACTTCTTCACAGTGCCCCAGTAAGAGAGGGCAGCACTACCATCTCTGATTTATAGTACTATCATCTCTGCATGTATATATATATTTATATATATGTGTGTGTTTATGCAGGAAGACAACAGCTGTGCTGGGAAACCAAACTCACCTTTTAATGTTTCTCTACTGTCCTACTTCTGAAACAACTTGCTTCTCTCCACAGATGCTAATACTAGCTGAGCTTTGACATGTAGAAACATCCAAAGCAACTTACCTGGTAGTGTGAATGCATGCTTGGCTAAAATCCTTTTAACACTATCCATCACTGCCTGGCTAATTCTCATTTGTCATGCAAAGGCTATGCGCCATGTAGGAATTGCTGCTGCCAAAGGCTTTTCCGTAAGTCATGCTCCTCATCTGTCTGAGGCTAATAGCTAAATATCTATCTATCTATCTAGTCTTTATGAATGGTCAAGACTGAAGCCCCTAAGCCACTTCATTCCCAGAATAATGTTTTATCAGCTGGAACACACATACCTGTTTTGTGGAGTCACCCAAGTGATACAGAAAAGTTACCTTAAAAATAGAGAGGTCAAAAGTCTCATCCCCACAAAGAACTGCAAAAGCCACATCCCATATGTGACAGTCCCTGGTGGACAGGGAAGCAGCGGAAGGGTGGGGAAAGCCTAGAATAGGTTTAATTCCCTTTGCAAATGGAGTAAAGCCACCCTAATCTGATTTTCTTAGGAGAGAATTCAGTGATGAATGGCTCTGCGTAATATGCTGAGCCATCACCACACTGGAGCCATTTATCACTCTGAATGTATGGAGGCTAATTGGATTATTATTTAAATAAACTACAACTGCCCCTTGCTCTGTCCTCTGTGTGTATAACCTGCAGTCTTCATTCACCTCAGAGAAGGTAAATCTTAAAATGACTAAGCTGATCCATTTCCATTTTAAATGATGCCAAGAGCACTACGGAAAAGGGGAAAACATGATGACTTGAAGGAAAATGACGTCTGTTCCGTGAGTCATTTTTCTCCCTAACTCCTGTGCCTTTGATGCACCTGACAACAACTGCATCCTTGAAGGTGAGAGCAGCCCACAGCAGCTTGTGGATTGAGAAGAATGCAGAACAACAGGGGAGGCTGGCACGGCCGGGCAGCAACGAGGGCTATTGCCACAATTTGTGTAAGTCGTGTGGACCGTGCTGAGTCATGTTCAGCAGCATCTGTGACATACCACGTGCACAAAGCAAGCACAATATGATGCCCTTTCACAGTCATTTTTCTATCCAGCTCCACTCTGGAGACTGGTTTTAGATCTTTTTATCCCTGGCCCAGGTGCAATCAGGCTCAGACCTCCCCTACTAGCTGCAGATAATGCTGACAATTTATGCAGCTGCTGAAGCACAGGCAATTTTTCAAACTCCTTTTGCACACACCTGGGGACCATCAGCTCAGGTAATGATAGATAACGCTGCTTTGGCTGCCCAAGACTAAGCAATGGCTGCAAAATGTTCCAAGGATCTCAGTTATGTATCCTGGAACTGGTTAGTGCTGAGCTTATAACACTGAACTGAAATGAAAAGAGGGTTTAGGAAACAACTTGCTTAGCGTACAGGTACCACTGTGTCAGCATGAGGTGCAAGTCTGAGTATAATGAAGGTGGCTTTCCTTTTCCTCAGGCTTGGGAGCACCCTGTGTTGGGAACACGCCTCTGTACCAGGGCAGCCCCATGCAGTGGTGTTACTGGGGGGGAGCTGTGTGCTTGCACACCGGCTGCAGCCATCCCAGCGGGCTCTGCTGCATCCGACACACATTTTGTGTCTTGATATAAGCTTGCAAAGATCATCTGAGGTACCTGAATGTCTTGTGTAATCATGATTAACATGAGCGGAGAAAAGCCCTTTTTGAAAAACAGCACAGGACTTGATTTGCACATACTGAGCGAGTGGCAGTAAACACTTCATGTGTAGGATAAATCTGTCTTTCTTTCTGTGATAGCGGCTCGTAGGTGCTATTGTCAAGCACTAAAAGTAATGTAATATAGTGAAAAAGTAAACTCAGGCTGCATTAGCAGCTACCCACAACGACTACTCCTTCCTCCAACACTGGTACTGAACAGATGAAATGCTCTCACAGTCTCTCTGCACAGTCTCTCTGGACAGCCTGACTTCTGACTATTGAGACCTATAGCTCCCCTGTGTATTGAATTTTAAAGTAAGGACAGAGTGTCTGAATTGAATTACTCAGTGCAGCATTAGTTAAGTGTCCCTTGTGAGCTTCCTCCTGTGAGCAAGCAAGAGATGAGCTCCCAGCCAGTTGTGCTTTCTTCCCTACCTGAACTCCTTTTTCATTGTTCTCAGCACACCGGGTCCCTCAAGGCGGAGCGTGACATTCTCCAGGGTTTGTTTCAGAGGATTGGTGAATTCCACAGTCACAGACATTTCTTTACCAGCTACCGTCTCACCTTGGGTCTGCAAGACAAGGAAAGGATAACGCTGCACAAACTGATAATAATAAAATGCCCCATGGTGAAAGACGTAGGGTTAAACACACAGTAGTTGCAAGGAAGGAGAGGAGGGGGAATGGAGCACACAGCAAAACAGCATGAGGCAGAGAAAACCTAGTCAGAAGAAAACTGTTGGATGGATCCATAGGTACCACTGCAGATTTTTCTACCCATTGTAATTTTCCCTCAAGCCACATGGCAGGTCAAGAGGCAGGCCCTCATTTCCACAGAAAAACCAGAAATCTGCATGCACAGTCCTGAAGCTGAGTGTCCAACTGAGGGCGAGTCCAGCTGAGGGGGCCTCTTGCCCAGATTCTCCCCCCTTCCCCAGGCTCCCTGCCAGCACTGAAGTACATGGCCTGCTCAAGATATAAGCTCTGGAAGAGAAGGGCAGGTCTTATTACCCTAAATTAGAAACACCAGGTCACATTGCTCGCACCCCCCAAAAGTGTTGTGCCCGTCTTCCCCCTGCCTTGCAACCACCTCTTGTGCTCTGAAGGGTTTCTAATCCTGTGCACGTGCTCTACATAGACCCGAGAGCCAGTTGCCCTCCAAAACCCTTACATAGCAAAAAGGCAATACATTTTGCACTGGAAAATATTAAACTGCGAGACTAATGAACAGTGATCACATTGAGTTCCATGTGTGTTATGGTACACAGCTGAAGGGATCTGTCTGTCCCTTCAGATCAGTGCCGGTAGTACAGCTGCCGGGAAAACACCTCCAAATGAATGTGTTTTTAAAAAAAGACTACATGCATGGGGATTTTGGTTTTTTTCCCCTAGAAACACAACATTTCTCACAGAATATAAAAGGCTCAGGCAAAAGGGTTTTCAACTTATGGCTGGCAGATCCCAGCTGGTCCATGGACTACTTAAAGGGCCTTGAGGAAGGTAACTAAGAAAAACAAGTCTCTTGTCAATAAATTTAAAGTGCTATGCTGGGGTCTGCAGCTCTACTGCTAATTTTTAAGGAGTATGACAGTTCCAAAAAACTGGAAAGACTCTGGTCTAAAGGATCACTCTGCACCAAATACCAATATATTGACTGGAATAAAGTATGAGATACTCACAGCTAAGGTCTCAACAGTATTTGGCCACCTGACTTTGCAAAAAGACATCGGTGACATTTTCAGAATTCCCAGCCCAATTAGAGGTCTTATCTCCTTCTTATTTCAATTGCCCATTTAAGATCACTGTTACATGGGGGGATTCAAAATCATCCTGAATTTCCACACATGCAGCTGAGACCATGACCTGTATTTGCCGAGCTTATTTTTCTAACCTGTCTCAAGCTAAATTCGAATAAGGTGTAATTTCCTACACTGTTAACTCTGGCAATGTCCTTAGACCAACAGAGAAAGATCAAAGGTGTATCTGAAGACAAGAGGGGAAATATATTTTTTCATTCTTCTCCCTTGCTCTCACATTAAGAACTCCAATCTACCAGTCAAATTCAATGAAGAAATCTGACAAGAAATCTAGGGAGATAAGCTTCTTTAGATTTCTTAAAAAAACAATAAAGGAAAGTTTCCTATATAAATACATAGGTATATACACACGCACACAAACACATGCTCTTAAAAAAATCCAGCTATTAAAATTTCGGCTTATTTTTACACATCACAAAGAAGCAGAGAAGAGACAAACTCAGTTTTACTAGAAGACATGGTTATTGGACAGCAACCTATCTCATATACTAAACATCCTTTCTTCATAACAGCAGGGAGGATAAACTATTTTGAAGCTGAAATTTGGGATCCTGTATAAGATGTTCTGTTTAAGTATTGAATTGAAAGAACTCTCTACTTTCAAAACTTGGTTATTGAAGACAGGTGTTTGAAGTAGATTTTATCTGTCTTGTTTACCTCCTCTCTAGAATGCTCAGTAAAACAAAAAAACTTTTATTTGAAAATACCAATAAACTGATCAGATCATAGTGACATTTCTGCAGACCACAAAATATTTTGCAAACTTCACTGTAGTTTTGATCTACATTTTTTAAAAAGCTTTTTCTGCAGAAGGCTGCTGTTTCAGGTTACTACATATATTATTATATGGGAACATGAACATTGGTTCAAATAAATACACAGGGAGGAAAAGGTCTATAAACTTAGATTTTTTTGAAGGTCCTGAATTTTAGGGAGCTGCATTCATGTTCATGTAAAGCCTCCTGAACAGGTGTTCTGATTTTTTTTTTAGTATTAGGAAAAAAGCAGATCCAAATGACATCATTCAAAGCAGATGAAGGCTCAGCGCTTTTGAAAAGGAGGCAATTTATTTCAATGCCCAGGTATGAATTGAGAACTCTCAATCTCAGCCCTGCCTTTGCCATATGACATAGGGTCCTTGTCCTATCAAAACCATTACACTTCTACATTTTCATAGGTATCATGCCACCGTCTGCAGAAATGCTTGAACTTTCAGGAAACTCCGCCAACAGTACATTCACAGAGTGGCAGCAAAGCACTGAAATCCTGAAAGCATCATCCCAAATGGATGCTGCCCATCCGAGTTGGGAGAAACTTCCCACAACACCTGCAGGAACTTTCCAAGCAAATTCACCTCAACAGCAGGGTCCTTCATTCTTCAGCAAGAAGCCTCTGTGCTGTGTTGCTTTAAATATAATAGACTTCTGAAGTAGTTAAAGGCTTGATTGACTTGAGTGAGTAATCTCTCTTACTCTTTGAGTTTCTCCAGCTTTCTCAGATCTTTTCCCCTCTACTTTACTCTATTACCAGTGATGTTGTCAGCCTCAGACTTCAATGTAGGGATACTCAGTACAATATATAACATACCTATACCTAACATACCTATACACCCTCATACACTCCAGCCAGCTGCTGCTTTATGAGGTCTATGTTAGACTGAAGGTCTAACATGCACACACACAGATACACCCCACCATCCCAGAAGTCAATGTGATAGCCTTGTAGAGAACAGCCTGTATGCAGCATGGTGGTCACTCCCCTCCACCCTAGCCCTGAGCTACCTTGATCCTCAGGGTGGGAATTTCCAGGACTGTCGCTTTCTGTGTGGCCAGAATCTTCCCCGTTTCATTGATCCGTGCCGTCACAAAGAAATGAAAGGAGGCTTGGTCCAGCAGGTCACTCAGGTACTCGCTTGATTTGATCACAACATCAAAAGATGTAGCTGAGGGGAGAAACAGGAAAGGAAAAAGGCATCTGAAGCAATCTAATGGCTAATTGCTCCTCCCATCATGGCTAGCAGCAGTTACACAAGCACCTTGGAAAAAAGGTGGCCCACCACCAAAGAATGATTTCTTTGTCCAAACTATCTTCATTTCTTTACCTCACCATTCCCCCTCGTATCTTTCCTCTTTCCATTTAGGCTGTGAGCTCCCTGGGGCAAGGGCTGGGTTTGTGCACAGCCTCTGCCCAGCGCCCGTCAGCACGGGCCCAAGTCACTGTTGAAGGTTTCTAGGCACTACCACAAAATAAGTGAGAAGGAAGACTGGCAATAAATAGCTATTGGGCACAAAGGTCCAAACCAGCTTTTGAGTGTCACCCTTGTAAATGTTTGCTCTTTCACTTTATTCCTGTGCTTTCTTTGCCTCTCTTTCTGGCAGAAGGATGCCACCAGAGCAGCCACTGGGGGTTGTGAGCCCATGCAGGCCACCTGGGAGACCACCTGCTCTCCAGGGTATATCTGGATATCTTCCTTTGTCCTACACTGGACTTGCCTGCAAAATTTAGCAAGAAGGTCCTCCTGTCACCAGCATGCCCTCCAGACAGATTTCACGTGCTCCCTGACAATAATTATTGGAAGGAACAAGTCCCTGTAAGCTAGATGGTTGAGATGCAGGGAATCATTAATTTTAACCATATTGAACTGCAATTCCCAGGCCAACAATGGTGTGAGAATGTGATGCAGAGAAGCAGACCTGTTAACTAAATGACCAGGCAGAATATATAGATCTGGAGCTCTTGCCTCTATAAACATTCATTATAACCCTAGTAAACATATCAAGATCTCCCATCTGTTAATTATGATTATTAATGTAATCCATTGTTTGTATTGTATTTGTGATATACACTGTACACACTGAGATAACTGAATTCAGTTGGGTAAATGACATTCACCCCTTCTCACTCTTTTGATCCGCTCACATCAAAACCAGTTCCTTGATTTGGTTTCCAAGCTATTCCCTTGGTGACCACCTGACCTGGATTTACCAGGCCAGCCTTAAATTTACTTGATGTGCTCCCCCTCCCTCCCTCCCTCCCTCTCACTCTGTATCTCTTGTAAAAGAATTTCCCATAATGCCCCAAACTGCAAATTACACATCAGGCAAGGTATTTCTCATCTGTGTAAAGTAAGTAAATAAATAAACAAATTAGTTACAATCAAAGAGAAATTTACTTTACAGTGGAAAGAAAGATGAACTTTTCTATTTAAATTTAATAACAACAGGAAAAAAAAAAGAATAATAGACTTCCATTTCCTTAGCACTGGCTGTGCTGTTAAGTTGCCAGTACCACTTACTGCACCTGGGAAAGCCAAGGGAGACACAACACCAAGCTGCCTTACAGCCTTTCAAAAAAAAACAAAACCAAAAAACCCTAAATATAACCTAGTAGATGCAAGAGCACCTTTGAAGGCACTGGAAAGTTTAAGCTATTCAAATCCTCAAAGATGTTTTCAACCCACACAATTCCTTTAATCATTATTCTGAAAATCGTGCATTCACTTCCTGTTTGGAAACTTAGTTCGTTTCATTCTTTCAGGGGCATGAGCTGGAAGAATGCCTTTGATACGTCTGTATTATATTGTAATTTTTTGTTACCTCCATATATATGTATATATACACTTCTTGCCATGAACAAAGCCTACAAATTCTGCCTGAGTGCCTTGGAAGGTACACTACCATCACACCCCTGACAGAGTATTCTCACACTGTTGCAAATGATCACGCTGCCTCCTTTCACACTGCCCATCTGCTCAGACACCATTCCTGATTGCATGCATACTCCTTTCCAAGGTAAAGCTGAAAGAATTCACCTTCAGAGATGGCATAAGTGGTGAGGGCATTTTTTTCCTGTTGTGGGACAAAGTGCTCCACAAGTCGATGACTGTAGCTCAGCTATAAGCTAATTTCCACCTTGAAAGGTGGTAATACCTTAAAACATGTCTCCTTGACCAGAGGCAGTGATGGGGACATACTTTTGGTACACATGCAAAAAATTCATGTTCTGTTCTCTCTGGTGCTTCTCTTTCTAGTCTGTGTTCACTCGGCATCAGTCAATTCAGAGTTTCCAGCACTGTTTCAAGAAGCTTTTTACAAACCATTTACTTAACTTAGAAAAAATGAATTATGAGGCTCAGTGATGCTTAAACATCATCTATTCATTTCATTTCTTGCACAGAAGAGATAGATGAGCCTCAAAGCATTGCAGAAGCTGTGTTTCAGGTAATAATACCTTACACAGACCTTTGATGCAAGAGCAGATGTAAGACTGAATTTTCCCCTGTCAAAGAAGTGGCACAGAATTTAGACTGAGCAGATGAAATTGATTTTTTTACTGTACCTAGCCAAGTCTCCAAAAAGTTTTGCAGTATTTCAGATCAATTATTTAGTAACTGATGCAAGCCAGTATAAAAACCCACACTGTGTTTTGATAGGCTGTGTCGGAACAACCCAATGCAACCCAGAGTCAACCCATTTCCAGACCCCTTGCAAATGAGTCAGGGAGTTAGAAAGAGCCAGAAAGCAGCTGTCAGGGCTTTGTTATAGACCGGAGATAGAATTTTTATTAACCTTCACCTGTAGATCCCTGTAACTGGACTCCTACTTTATGGAGATTAATCAGCTTCAAATCAAAATGTGCAGTTTTAGATGATGCTCAAATTGGAGGACTTTTTTTCACAGCACGGCAGGAACCGTGATTCCATGGAGGCTTCTCACTGAGACAAAACCTATCCTCTTTGAGGAGAGAGGGCTCACAGTGTCTCCTGAGCTGGGATGAGACAGACAAGGCAGATGAGAAAGCTCTGAGGTCAGCCAGGGTTGCTGTGATTCAGCACCAGACCTAGATCAGGAAGCCCATCCTTTGGCCTCCCAAAGTCCTGCCACTCCTGCTGCACTCAGCAGAGATTGCCTTTGCCCAGTAGCAGCATCAAGAAGGCAAAATCATTGCTTCTGACTTTCTCAATAGGGAAGTCAAGTAGAGGATCCTCTGACTTAGCCTCCGTAACAGCACGTTCTCATCACTTTCGCTGAGCTGGAGGCACTGACCCAAGAGCACAAGCCTGTCAGAAGAACAAGCGATTGGCAGTCAGTTCTTGCTGGGATCTGCAATCAGCCTGCTCCATAGTGCTCTGGAGTAAAGTAGGTCCTCAACACTTGCTGACTGTTTTCCAAATGGGGCTGCCATGGCTGACAGGAAATAAATTCATTATGTCCAAAATAAAAAAGGAGAACATTCCTCTTCCCTACTTCGAGCAGTGCAAAATCCTGCCCTCAGCCGTGTGAGCTAGGCTGCCAGGAACTGCTTTTCTCCTGAGAAGAGGGAGACAGAATCTCCCCACTGCAGTCCAGAGGGCACTAGGAAAAGCAAACACTGTATCTGTAAAGATAACTCACCTTTGGGTGCCGGCCAAGCTGATAAATGCCCCTGCTCTATAGTGGCACATTCTAGTCACAGATCAACTTTTTAGATCGCTGAGAATATAAAATCCTGAACCACCCAGTCCCCCAAAGCCAGATATGCACTTGGACCCACTCAGAGCTTGTCAGCTTCTTTCAGGTAAGGCAAGATATGCACCTTTTCGTCCCTGTAAATGACACCCTGGGGAACCAGAACTTTCCTTCACTTGCTGAGACACTGCTAGGAGACTAAAGGTATGAAAAATGATACCTTGCAGCTTAATATCTGCACTCCTTTGCTTTCTTTTGTACTAAATAAGAAAAATTAACAGTTCCCAAACATGCAGCTTGGTGTAAGAGAGCATTATGCAGGGAGCAACAGCCTGAAGAAAACAGCCTCAGCTCTAAATGTCACCGGTGGCAGGGCAAGAGTTGGGAGTGGAGCCTCCTGATACCCAACAGAGTATCCTATCCCTAGCTACTAGAATTGGCTCTACCCATGGGTAGAGACATTGGTGACAGTTAATGACACAGAGAAAAAAAGCTAGCAGGTTTGAAAACAACTATGCAAGTCTTACGTGAAGAGGGTTCCAGTTTTGCACTGAAAGAGT